CCCTAGCCTTGGCCACACACAGCACCTCTGCTCATGTTTTGTTGGTCATCACTAGTTGTGAGGTCCCTCTGAGAGTCAAGGGGCCTGGAAACTATGGTCTAATGTGTGCCCTGGGAGCAGCGGGGGTTGGGGGAGGCTGAACGTTATCTATGTCAGCTATATCTGCCATCTCCTGTCCTCTCATCACCAGGCTGCTAACGAGCCTGGAACCTGAACACTGTCAGAAGAGTCAAAGATAGCGTGAAACTAGCTGACCAATCAATTATTTGGTTTCTTATAGAGTTTATCACTTTGCAAAGTAGTGTGGGAATTTAGACTTGAGCTGGGCCTTGAAGCTTATTGAGTTCCGTAGTTTCAGACTGTTTTTGTAAAGGGGGGGGTCTCTTTTATACAAGTGAGATCTTATGGGAAACTCCAACTTATAGAACCAATGAGAGTGAAGCTTCTTCCTGCCCTGTCCTTTTTTCCTGCCTTAGATTCTAAGGCCCTTTCCAGGAGATCAGAGCTACTCACTTTATTGGACCGGAGAAACTGAGGCACAGAGAGGCATGGACATATTTGCCAAAGATTTCATGGATGTCTGTAACAGGTTTAAAGTTGAAATTGAGTCTCTGCATCCTGGGGCCAGTGCTCTTTGCACTACTATGTGTTTACTTAAAAATTGTGCCATCGCTTTACCCCACATAGACCACGAAGCCCCTGACGTGAAGTAGGGCACAGTGTGCCCTACTGCTTTTGGTGCTTTCTCTTCATTATCCCAGTAGTGGGCAATCCCGTTGATTCTAGATAGGGTCTGCCTAGCACTTGAGCAAGGGCTTAGGTTTAACAAAATTTAAGTATGTTAATACAAGTAGCATTTTGTGTGAAAGCACTTGCTGGTCAGATGATGGAAAGGCCACTGTAGTGTTAGAATGCAGGCATAGTTGTGTGTAGCCCAGAGAAAGTGTCTTTATGTCTGGATGATGTGTTTAAGGCACGGGACCAGCATGGGGAAGCATCTGAAAAGAAGGGTAAGGCAGCATCCTTGTTCAGGATAGCCTCTTATTCCAGATAGAAGACAGAAATATAAAGGAAGACGCCAGGGAGATCGGTCTGAAGAAGAGAACTTAGCAATGGAAATCATTGCTGTTTTCAAATATTTGCAGGATGAACAGGCTTTTCTGGGAGCCCAAGCAGGTCATTGGAACATCACACATGGCTGAGGTCCAAGGCTTAGGGGAGAAATGCTGCTCACACAATCTGGCTGGTGATTTAATCACTTATCCAGCTGTCCCCCTCCCTCAACCCCTCAAAGACCCTAAAGCACTTGAGGCCTGAAGAGAGGACTAGGCAGGTCAGAGAACTCAGTAGGCACTTGCTTACAGTCTCTTCCAGGACCTTCATCTCCTTGGTAGCACAACAGGGCTGGAACTCACTTGTTCATAGCATCAGGCTTCTGCTCCCCATCATGACCAGCTGCCAGGAAGTCATGCAGCACCTGGTGTACTCACTGCAGTGCTTCTTAAACTCTAGTGCACATGAGTCATCTGGGGGTCTTATTAAAATGCAAATCCCTATTCAAGTTGGTCTGGGTGGGGGCCCCAGAATCTGAATTTTCACAGGTGATGATGCTGCTCAGCTGTGGACCATACCTTGAATAACAGAACTCTGCTATAAATCCCAAGTCTTCCCTCAAGGCTACAGCCCAGAGCCATCAGGCCAGACGACCATCTCCTCCAAGTTGCTCTTATGACTCAGCCTCGCATCTCTGTTAGCTGAGGGTTACTGCTCAGAAATATTGTCTCATTCCCCTCCCGGCATCCATGAAACAATTTTATCCAGATAAAACTCAGCTGCCTAGTGCCTTTGTCATCCCAAGGGCCACTTCAGCAGTCAGCTACATATTTTTAAAATACAAAACACATCATCCTGATTTTCATTCAAGTTGTTTGACAGCACTCTGAATTTGTGTGATGCTGTCAGAAACTTACATAAAGACAGAGGTATCCATTTGCCTAACAATAGGGAAGATTTCTGATTATTTGTGATTCCCCCAAGGTGACCACTGACTCCGATGCTTTCTAAAGTGATCTTTAAAAGATCCGTTTGTGCAGATGACATGATACTATATATAGAGAACCCTAAAAGATTCCACCAGAAAACTACTAGAACTGATCATTGAATTGAGTAAAGTAGCACAATACAAAAGAAATATCCAGAAATCAGTTGCATTTTTATATACCAGTAATGAACTATTGGAAAGGGAAACTAAGAAAACAGACCCATTTACAATCGCATCAAAAAAATGAGGTGGGTGGAGGAGGTAAAGGGGGGATAAATGGTGACAGAAGGAGACTTGACTTTGGGTGGTGAACACAAATACACTATACAGATGATGCATTATAGAATTATACACCCGAAACCTATATAATTTTATTTAACCAATGTCACCCCAATAAATTCAATAAAAATGTAAAAAAGAGAGATCTGTTTATAATACATTGAGCACTTGCTCAATGAGGCCATAACCCCAGAGATAATGATTAAATCTGGTGAGATTGATCTGCCTCTTTTTTTTTTAAATGATTCCATCAGGTGACCTCTCTGAGCATTTCTCATCGTTATTTATTTCTATTTTATTTTTTCATTGTTATTTATTGATGTCATTTCAAGGTCATGTTCATTCCTTCAGCAATAGCTTATTTGTCGAAGTAAAGTAACTGAGAGATTTCTCACAGTATGTTACTCTTGTTAAGGTCTCAAATTTAAAATCATGCTGATTTTCTGTCTAGGAGCTGTGTTGCCTTGCGCGAGGTATTTGATATCTCTGACCATATGTGAACTCCTCTGTAATACAGGGATAATAATATCTCCCTTGAAGAAATGAAATGAGGTGTTTATGAAAGCACTTGGCCTACTGCTGGCGCTTGACAGTTACTCATGAAATGCCTCCTGTTCCTTTTTCTTAAGCCAGTTTCTAGTGTTTTATGGAAGAGATAAATATTTTATTTTCCTATTAGTCTCAAAGCATCTTGAGAACAGGATCTATATTTAAATCTTTTTTTTTTAGTCCTTCATTGTGTGTTTAGTAATGTCTTGAATAAATTAATGAATGACCAGATAATCCATAAGGTCTTCTTGATCTTTGAGTTCTCTGATTGTTTGATGCTTCTAATGTCCTAGCTGCTTGGAGGATCCTCCTAAAATGAGTATCTTCTCTGTTAAGGGACTTTTTCTTTTATAGTCTTATAAAATATATATTGTTTCTTATTACTAATAAGTATGTATGTGGGCCCAGGAGCCCGCTGCCATCGTATACCTGACCTGGGGCCTGATTCTTTGCCTCCTGCAAATGCAATGGGTCAGAGGCTGGTCTTAACTCTGCTTCCCCTTGCCCTGCTCTCTTGGGAAGATCTCTGTGAAAGATGCTCAAGAAATATGCCTTTTTCTGTGATGTGAGATTTGGGGGTCGTGAATAATAGAGGCTGAGTTTCATGATATATTCATTTCGGTTCTCATAGAAGGTGCATTTCATGTTTTAGATTAAATACAATCTGGCTAATGGGGTCAGGACAACTCAATGGATGAGAGGAGAAGCAGTAGGTCCTTCCAAGTCTGGGGATTGAGCCAGGTTACCTGTCTAGGCGAGTAGTTCTTGAGTTTATATGAATGAGTTGCTGCGAGATAGTGCCAGTTGAGACCATCCTTACTACTTTTTCTCCTGCCTCTGAGATGGGCAGAAAACTGGTAGAAAGTACATAGGCCGTCAACTTGAGACCTGAGTTTAAATCCTGACGTGGGTATGCTGTTGAATTCTAGAATCTCAGTTTTTTTTTCCTTTAAAGTCTTATGAATGTATTAACAGACTTTGCTGTTTTCTATTTTGAGTTTTTTAAAATATATATATTTTATTGATTTTTTACAGAGAGGAAGGGAAAGGGATAGAGAGTTAGAAACATCGATCAGCTGCTTCCTACACAACCCCCACTGGGGATGTGCCCACAACTATGGTACATGACCTTGACCGGAATCGAACCTGGGACCCTTCAGTCTGCAGGCTGATGCTCTATCCACTGAGCCAAACCAGTCAGGGCCAGAATCTCAGTTTTTAATGGTTAAAAAATAATATCAGCCTGGTAGGTTTTTGCAGGTGATAAGTTAGATAGTGTATGTTAAAGGCCCAATGCCATGCTTGACAGTGAGATTAAGCCCAGTGATGATGACACATTTCAGGAGAACACAGGAGACAGATGGGTCTGCCACCTGTGAAAATGTCAGCCCTGCTGTGTGTCTGAGGAGTGTCCCCAAGTCCCGGTTGTGTTTTATGACTGAAGCGCTGACCACAGTGGTGGTGCTAAGAGTTTTTCATGGATCTGGAAACATGATCACAATCTGGGCAAAGAAACAACTCAATTGCATGTTTTATTCCATGATGAGATGATTTGAAATTCTGGTCCATATGTGAGTAGCTTCAGTGTTTCCTCCTCTACATATCTAGGAATAGTGGTCACTTACAGCTTTCTGTACAGGGAGAAGTAAAAGATAAAAAAGCCTTACTAATCTCTTCACTGTCTTCACTCTGACAGTTTATTTGAATCGCTGATACCCAACATGACTTCTATTTTTCTCTAATTCTTGAAAAAGTAAAAATGGCAGTAATAAAAATAACATAAGTCCATTCCACGTGGTCTTTTTTTAGACAATAGAAAGAGGGATCTAACTGTTTTTAGGCATTTAAGAGACACTGCCCAGCGCTTTGCTAATTAGTTTGTGGCCAGTTACATTACAGTGGATCAATGCCCATTTCAGAGGCTCAAGGTGTGTCACTAAAAGGCCCCTCAGACAATAGGTGAATTGGGTTCCATGTGGTCCCATTGATTTTGGGATGTAGCTCATTGTGTCATGTTTCACTAATTTTAGTTTCTGAGTAATGTGGTTGTAAGCTAGTAAGTAGCAAGGACTGATTATGCCTGTGATGTCTGGAAGGAAAATAATACCAGTTTTTGTTGCTCTACATACAGCTATTTTGAACTGGAGAGCAGTGGTCTGAGGGATGAGATCCGCTATCATTACATACATAATGGGAAGCCCAGGACGGAGGCCCTTCCGTACCGGATGGCAGACGGACAGTGGCACAAGCTCGCGCTGTCAGTTAGCGCCTCTCACCTCCTCCTCCACGTTGACTGCAACAGGTACGTCTTTGCCTTTGATCTTTCATCTTTCATGATCTGTGCTGGAAATCGAGCCATGGGAAAGGGGAGAAATCAAGCCCCTCTCAGCTTTGCCGGGAAACAAAAACCAAGGGACCCTCATGGTAATTTAACCTACCAAGTAGGCAATTTAGATGTGCTGAAATGACCAACTGTAAAACGCTAAGAAAACAGTTCATTAGGATGAAACCATATCCTGTGATTAGGAACAAACGTACAAAAGGTTGATTACAGATTGTGGAACAGTAAGTGCACCTCGGTGTACTCCAGGCACCGTCGGAAATTCCATGGAGCTGTGATCACAGTTAACTATGATGTATTGTTGTTCAGTTCATTCCCCTTGGATGCGAATAAGCCAGCCAGCCTCAGAATGAATCTGAGAAGCCTGTGCTACTGAGGCGGCTAATTCTATTTCACTTCATCAGGCACAGCTTTGCTTAAATATCTTTTCCAAATGGAGGCTTTTTAAGAGGCTGGTCTTTGAATCTTTGGTACCATCCATTCTCTGCAGAGGAATGAGCCTTCCAGCTTGTGTGAGGATGGCAGGACTATTTGTGAGGTCTGAGGGTTTCACAGGAGGTGGTGGTTGGGGTGTGAAGGAAATACTGTACCCCATATCTGTCATTGGTCAGGTTTACTGCCAGCTGAAGAAAGGAGACTATTGGTCTCCATTGGAGCATTTGCAGCTGGGCAGCTGGGTAATGGTGGTCAAGGGGAATGTTTTCATCTCCCCAGAACCCACTGAAAATCCTTCTGGATAGTGATCTGAGCCCTATTATAGAGAAATGTTTGCATTGCAAGCACTGCCCATGAATCGTTAGTTTTCATTAATGTTACCATCAAAGTGAAAATAACTGTTCGGCCACAGGACTTGCTCCCTTGGGCCCAGAAAAAGAACAGGCATGTTGGGGACAACCTCCCTTCTGGAACCCAACACAAGGAGGGATAATCCAAGGTCACTCAGCCCCCTACTACACTTATTTTTAAAAAATAAATATATTTTTATTGATTTTAGAGAGGAAGGGAGAGGGAGAGAGAAAGAGAGAGAGAGAGAAAGAAGAGAGAGAGAAACATCAGTGATGAGAGAATCATTGATGGGCTGCCTCCTGCACACCCCACACTGGGGATAGAGCCCACAACCCAGACATGTACCCTGACTGAGAATCAAATTGTGACCTTTTGGTTCATCGGTTGACGCTCAACCACTGAGCCATACCAGCTGGGCAGACTACACTTCTGATGAGGAGATATTTAATGTATTCCCCACTCTAGGTCTGTAGTCTCTTGCAGAAAAGACCTACAAGGGCAAAGAACAGAAACTAGTGTCAGTCTTAAGGGAAGTTCCACCATGTGAAGTGAGTCTTGGTCCATTTTGATGTCATCTATTTAAGGTACTTTCTGGATTTCTGAAGAATTATCCAGATATAATATGTGTGCATGGACAAAGTTTCCATAGAAACCACTGGCTTTTTACCCTGCAGTCTGGGGCTTGGCAGCTTGAATAAAGCCAGCCTCATGCTGCCATCTCCATTTCTACCTTTAAAAGCTCATCATCTCCTTCAATTCTCTAGAGCCAAAAGCTATCTGGTAGTTCTCTTGCTCCCCCACCCACCACCCATATGGTGCCCAAATGGGAGAGTGGATGAAGGGCCTTGCATGTCCTCCTATGTCCTCAGCCAGAAAGAGGCCTCAAAGCCCTAACTTAGTAATTCCCAACTGAGAACTCCTGGAGACACTGCTGTTTTCTTGCTATGCAATTTTTTGCTTTCTCCTTCCAAAATTTATTCCCCTCCCCCAATATTCTTCTGTCTGGAGAAGAATAAAGAGGAGAGAGGCTATGTCTCTGCTAAGCTAAGGTCTCATGACTTCAGCAATTCTCTGGTCCCCGCGAGATAGCTTCTTCTCCCATCTTCAGCCATATGTTAGCTGTGTGAATTTGGGCACGTTAATTTCTTTGCATCTCAGTTTTTTAAATTTGGAAACTGGAAATAATAATACTAACATATTCTCATAGATGGGAATGTTAAATGATCCATGTAAAGTGCTTAGGGTGGTGCTTGGCCTTTGGTGTTCATTAGATGGTGGTTGTTGATATTATGATTATTTATTCTGCACATCTCTGGTGCCTCTTTGTCTCCAAACTTTCATTCACTGTATGTCCTTCTTGGCTACCTTGACCTCTCTACCTAGAAAGTTGGGGAGAGTATGGGAGAGTTGGAATCCACAATATATTCTAAGGTCAGCTCTATTGATAAAGAATGGATTGAGGGGATTATAAATATTCTTTCCCTTCTCTTGAAATTTTTCATACTTTGGTTCATGCCATAACATGTTGTCCTTTGTGTAAGATCTTGGAGGAGAAAAATAAAGTTGTTGCCAGTTGATGATTCATGGGCCCAGACACAAATGAGTTTTTCAGAAAGGTCAGGGGAAAGAAAGGCCCAGAATGACTGGGCCATAGAAGAGGTAAATTTTGATTTTGGTGTAGGAAGTCTAGAAACATAGTTCCCAAACCTGATTGCATGTAAGAATTATTGGGGAACCTCTAAGAAAATACATGGGAAACCAGGCCCCATGTGACCCACTGGATCAGACCCTGAGGGCTGGAAACTGAGAAGGCATATTTTTAGCAAGCTCTACATGTAGTGTTTAATGCAGGCAGTGAGACTTGGTGCATGGACTGGCATTTCAAAACCATGAGGTTAGCTAGAGGGGATAAGCCAGAGGAGATGCTGGGGTGCAACAAATAAATGGGGTTCCCTCAGAAACTAAGTACCCGAAGCAGACCCCAGTAGGGAGGAGGGAAGATTAAGGAGAAGGTAGTACCTAGTGCACAAAACAAGCTTATGTTCTTCACAAATTTCTTCCTGGCCAGCACTGGCTGAGTTAGAGTGGCGGTAGCTCTGGTTTCCTTGTCGAGATACTGGTTTCCTCCTCCTAATCCTGGCTACCCTCCCAGGAGAATGAATTTCACTACAGCTGAATTTTTACTCTAAGCTATACATTTCATCCCATCAGAAGATTCTTCCTTTTTGATTCCTTTTACTTTAGAGTTATGCTATCTTATTTGTCTCTGCCTGTCATCCACAGCGGTGATGTGATGGAGAAGATTTATTGCATGTTGACTGTGTTAGGCACAGTGCTAATTAAGCATTTTACATAATTCATTCACCCCACATTCAATGCTGTTATTTTTCTCATTTTCAAATGATGGAACTGAGGTTGCATTATGTGTCTGCAATTCCGCTGCTCATAAGTGGCAGTGCTAGGATTCGGACCCAAATCTGATGCATGAGTGTCTGCTCTAGCCACTCTGCTCTTCAGCCCAACAGTGGGGACCATTGGCCCTGGACTTGGAACTGAGAAAAGGCAAGAGCTTGGTGCAGTGTGAGAAGTTTGCTCCTCTCTAGTATTTTCCTACTACATGTTTTTTGTTGCTGATCATTGGAGTTGTTCAGTAAGATGTGGAATCTTATGAACAGAACCCATTGCATTGTCATGGGGTGGCGAAGGACCCTACATGTATTGGGTACTTACAACAAGCTAGTTAATGTCCTCAGCATGATATTCCTTAGGATAGCCATGTGGAGACACTTTTATTAGTTCCAGATTTGGAATTAAAAGGCTCAGAGAAGATAAGCAACTCGGTCTCAATCACATAATGTAATAAGCATAGAGCCAAAACTTTGAACTGGGATCTCCCCACCCCTCCATGCCCCCTGTGTAACTCATGTACTTCCCAGGACATAGTCACGGCCACACCGGGGAGCCTTCCCTGGGGAGAGCTGCTGCAGAAGGTGCGGGGATCATAAGAACATGTGAAAATAGGTGGAAATAATTTCCCAGGCACCTCCATTGCTCTGAGGCACTGCATGTGTGGCAGGATTTTCCACCTTTTTAAGGATAGAATTGAGAAACAGAGCCTTTTTTGACCTGATTACACAAATTGTCAAAGGAAAGCGACTGCTATTTTTGTCAGCAGTTCAACACTTTCTGCCTGCTACCAAGACTGACACCTTTCTCTCAGCTTCAGCTGTTTAGCTGGGCCTAACTAAAAGTTCCCGAAGTGTGGGTGGCAGCTTACCTCAAGCTAGAAACATGAAAGGGATCATTCAGTCGGGTGGCCAGACTGCTTATCTCCACTGCAGTGGGTTTTCCACCTACTGCCTTTATATTAATAGTTTGCAACAAAGTCTAGAGAGACCTGGCCTCACCTTCCTCAGATTCTCCCTCTCCATTCCCAGCTCACCCGGCAGCCTGTCCCCATCACTCAAAGCTCAGAATCCACTGATGCGCGATTAGTGCCCGAATGTTCTTTCTCCTTCACCACAAAAGGAATTTTCGTTCCTTGTCTTTATTTGGTGACTTTTAATGATCCCTCAACCCATCACATTAATGTATTGGATGCACTATCCCTGCCAGGTTGTGGAGGGTACAGAGTCCTTGCTATCGGGAAGTTCATAGCTTATTCATTCAGTCATTTTTAAACTCTGAAACCTCCAGGCCCCCAACAGTGACCGGCCCTGTTCCCTGGATTCAGAGAAAGCGTGGACTCGGACTGAGCCTTGTGTGCAGGCTGAATTGACAGCGCCTATTAGCAGCTGAGCAGTGGAGAGAACTGCAAATAGTCACTCCCAGCATCTGGTCTTGAAGTGACAGTGGAGCTGAGGTTCTTGACAGCTAAGGGTTGGACTCAAAGGTGTTGGTAATTGAATGGTACAGTCACCTAGCCTTCGGCAGCACATTTTGCCATATGCAGTGTCCTCACTCTAAGCCAACCTCCTCTTCCCCCAGTGCTGGGAAAAATTCTCTCCCACAGTTACATTGCAACTGAGCTCCGAACTCTCGCCTCATTAGTTCAGACTGTGTAAGTGTGTGCAGTGTGCACACACACACACGCACCCCCTCCCCCACACACACCCCTGCATATTGATAGTCATTCTGACAAGGGGTTAACTCAGTGATTATAGTTTAGACAATAA